TTTTTTGTTTCCAAAATATTTTTTACTTTTGTATAAATTCATTAATTATAATAATAAACTTTTATTATACTGTAGTATATTTACATCAAAAATGTATTATTATTGAAGAATTTATAGGTTTGATAAACGCTAACAAGTTATGTATTAATTTTCATTCCTGTTAACATTAATGGTAAGTTTAAATTTTATTACTTTTATTCATTTTTATATTAACTTTTATTAATTTAAAAAACTATATGTACTTTCGAACTTTTTCTGCTTATTTTCTGTCTGTAGCTGGATTAAGATGTATATTTTAATATTAGGGGCGTATAACTTCTCGTTTGTTGTAAGTACGTGTTTTTTAAAATGTCAAAACTGGTAACATGCAAAAGCGAAAAGAACTCATTTCCATTTATGCAGTCAAAATTTTAATTTCTAGCTACTTACAATATTGTGTCAAAATTTGAAGAATACGGTAAACAGTAAAGAGTTCATTTGTTTCCATCAATAGTAAATTTTGCATTGTTTTTATATACACGTAAGGCAGCACCGATAAACATGAGTGCTAAAGTTGGATTCAGATGTAGCTCTGAATGATAAGTGGAAATGGTATAATATTAGAGAGAGTACAAACAAATGATGTTTTTAATCAATTTATAGGATATTCGAAGGTATTTTGGAGATCGCACTGGAAAAAGTGCTCTCACAGAACTGAGGAAAGCTTCTGGAGGAAGTCCACTCAGAGATGGTTCAGGTAGTCGGAATAAAATAGAAAAGCACAGGAGTTGTAAGAAACCAGTTCCAGCTACTCTATTTTCTGATGCATGTAAATCATTTTACTAGCTTATGGAAATTATTTAGATTTTATTTTTTAAAAACTATTCACTTCCAAAAAATACAATATCCAGAACTTATAATTTTCATCACTTTTATATCTTATTTGTTTCCTTCGCATATTACAAGCAAAAGCTGTAAGTTGGTTTTGAGTAAATTTATCTGATATGGAGAAATATTCACTGTAATTTTAAAAAAAATCATTTTAAAGAATTATGATTAAAAAGCGACTAATGAGGCAAAGAAAATTCAGTTCTTTGAAATGAAGTGAACTGATACATAGCGTACAATAACATCAGAAAATTTTCAAATTATATCATAAGTATAACTTGGAGTCCCTTACAGCTGCTTATTATTGTATGCTATATTTTTTTTGTTCACTAGAATTTGTGCTGATCATACTTCACTTTTATTTGTTATATCTATAAGCATCAACTGTTCACTCATTAGTGAAATTTTTTGACTTGTAGCCGATGAAGAAAATCCATTGCCTCGTTCAGTTCGTAAACAGTTGGCCAAAAAAAGAAGAAAAAAGATTGTATTATCTTCAGGTGCTTTTTATCAACTATACTTGAGTCCAATTTTTCAATTAGTAGCAACAACACATTCACTCAAGCTATAAATAAATATCCTGATTAGTAAATTCTGGTTGTATTTAAAAAGTTTTTTTTTTCAATTTTAATTTTTCATCTAATTCTTACTTCGTATTGAATTTAAAAATTTTTATATTACCATTTTTGCAGATGATGAAGGATTACTACAATCAGTTTCAGAAATGCAGCCAAAAAGGAATATCAGTGCACAAAACATAATTAAGACGAGAAAAATTTCACAGAAGCATATTTCATCTAACAGTTCTAATGTTAGTTATCAAAGTGATCTGTATCCATAGCAGCTCGAGATTTTTTATTCATTTTTAAAAAATAGTAACATTTAGGACGAAAAAGATGAAGATGACGAGTTTTCTGGATTTTTTCTAGCACCGCCTATGAAAAAAAAGCGTCATCGCACACCTCCTAATCAAAAAAAATTAGAATTCAGTCGTCCTGTTATGGCCAGCAAAAATAAATCACCTGAAAGTTTGTCACTATTTTTTCTCAAGTATTTTTATAAGTATTTAATGTAGTTTATTGCAAAGTATAGGCAAAGAAATCACTATTAAATGACCAAATATAGCGTAACAAAAAAGCCATTATGAAATCGAAACTAAAATTTCAGAAAAGAAATCCAAAATTCCTCCTGAATTAGAAGCAGTTAATCCGGTTGAATTTTTTCGTAATTTTGGTAAATCAACAAAAGAAATGAAAATTAATGCGGAAGAAACCAAAATTAGTGGGAAAAATACAAAGTCGTCAAAAAAGGCTGCTCAGACGATGATTTCTTCCAGTGATTTACCGGACAAATCAAAACAGAATATAACTGTGGAAGGTGAAGTTGTGGCCACTAATATCGTTACAAGCAGTAAGAAAGTTAGAAAGTCTTCTCAGAAATCAGATCAAATAGAAGCAGGAGCTTTATCTAAAGTAATTGCATCTCCTATGAGATCAGTGACCGAATCAATATCAGAAGCTAGAAAAGGAAAAAAAGAAAAAACAAAAAAAAAGAATATCAAGGGAGAAAAAGTCAAGTCAGATAGTATTTCTTCTGAGAATAACGAATTGAGTAACAAAAAACTTGAGCAAAGATCCAAATTCAAAGACATTTCATTTTTAATGAATGATCACGAAGAAACCGGAAAGGTCATGAAAACAGTGAGTTTCTAATCAATTAATTAAAAGAAATTGTTTAACGAGGGAAAATTCTTATTGGTGATAATAAAAAAGCTTTGATGTGAAATATTTTTCCAGGAATACATGTGGAGAAATGATCTTTTTAAAATGCTGAAAGTACGATTTGCAAGTTTATTCTTTGCAGAAAATGTTTTTGCCATGGGTAGATAAATACAAACCAAGCAGTAGAAAAGATTTAGTTGGACAAAACGGAGAAAAATCGCCTATGAATAAACTATTAGGCTGGCTTCAAAATTGGGCAAAAAATCATCTGGGACAAGGTGGAAAGCAAAAAAAAAGTAATAAAGTTCGTTCAATTTTTGTTAATAAATATGTTTGAAGATATTCAGGAGTAAATTTTACATGTTTCATTGTTTAAAAGTTTATTTTTTTTTCAAAATTATAAGTTGTTTGAAACTCAGAGAAAACTTGATAATATACATAATTATCTCTTTATATTACCATCATTTTGATATTGTTTTTTTCCTGTATTTTCTTATAAGATAACAACTTTAGCTCGTCCTCCGCCGTGGTTAATGCAAAATGATGGTACTGCTTTCAAAGCAGTGATGCTCAGTGGTCCACCTGGTCAGCCTTTTTTGCATTTTACTTCACTTTTACTAATTTTTGCTTCAATATCTGTCAAGTGCATATCCTTGTTCTGTACTGAAGCTTTATTTTGAAGGTGTCGGTAAAACAACATGTGCTGTAATGGCTTGTAAAGAATTGGGTTTACGATATGTGGAGAAAAATGCATCTGATGTTCGAAACAAAAAGGCATTAGAAGCACAAACGTCAGAATTGATTGATTGTGAACAGATGGATGGTTATATTAATAACAGTTCAGTCGCACGCAAAAGCAAGTTTTGTTCTTAAACTATAAAAATTTATTAAATTTTAAAGCTCTGAAAAGACAGTAAAATTTATTGATCATTTAAAATCAGAAACGCCTGAAAAAAATTTAATTTTGTTGATAGTGAATACATCCGGAGAAATAACACATGTATTGATCATGGATGAAGTCGATGGAATGAGTGGAAATGATGATCGAGCTGGAGTATGTTTTGTTGAATATGTATCGATGTTCAAATTCAGAAATAGCATCAAACTAAAATCATATCAGTTGTAGTCAATTTTTATAGCCAGATTTTTACCACGATTTTGAAGGCTCACATTATCTACTACACATAAAATTTGATATATAATCCGAATTGCCTTTTAAACTAATCCTTTAGCTTTTAAGATTGGTGAGCTAATACAAATGATCAAACAAACACACATACCTATAATTTGTATATGTAATGATCGGCAGTCGCAAAAAATGCGCTCATTAGTCAATTACTGTTTTGATGTGCGTTTTCAAAGGCCACGTGTGGAACAAATTAGAGTGGGAATTTCTTATTCTAGTATACTATTTTTTTTCATTGTTTCTCATATCAATAAATAGTTTTTATTAGATGTCTAGTTATGTATATCCAAAAAAAAAATTCATGATATATCTAAAGTTTATTTTTTTCTTGACTTCAACAAAGTATGTAAAATGTAAGTGAAATTTACATTTATACTGTTGCTTTTATACTGTTTATATTTACATTTATACTGTTGCTTTTTTACATTTATACTGTTGTAAAATGTAAGTGAAATTTACATTTATACTGTTGCTTTTTGGTTTTGTCATAATGTACGTTAGAAGTGTAGTACGCTAGTTGCGGACGTAGTAAAATGAATATATTTTTACCAAAAAACGATACAGTATATACTGATATATTAATAGTTTCATTTTCCAGGCAAGGATGTTGACTATAATTTGCCAAGAGCATTTGGAAATTAAAAAGGAAGAAGTTGATGAAGTAATTGAAGTTGCTGAACATGATGTTCGTCAGTCAATTTATAACTTACAGCTTTTGTATGCGGGGGGAACGGGAAAAGAATTGCAGAGCAAAGATGTTGCTCTTGTTAGTTTTATTTTCCTCTCTTTTTAATTTATCAAAATTTTATTAGTTTGAATAATATTTCAAGAAGAACATAGCAACTTTTCAACTTTCAAATTTTGTTTGAGTTCAGTAGTTGAGTATGTTTCTCAAATTTAAAATTCAAAAGCAGTGTAATATAAGAATGCTGAAAATAAAGTCAGGAAACAATATACAAGTTCTCGGTAATTGTCTTGATTCATATAGAATCCATTCGAAGCTGCTCGTCGTTTGTTGAGTGCTGATACACCGATGTGGGAAAAACAGGAGATGTTTTTTGTGGACTTTTCACTTATGCCACTTTTTGTGCAGGAAAATTATCCATTCGTTCAAAATTCAAAGCAAAGGTATATTTAATTTTGAAATCTTGAGGTGAATACAGGGCTTCTACTTCTGTCTATTCGTTTGTATGAAGTCTTTTTTAAATATGCTGCACGTCACTAGTATTCGATTTTCCATTTTATAATTAACAGTTATTTTTAGATGACGTAACTTTTTTTTTGCTCGAAACATTCAAAATATTCTCGAAAAATTTTTAATAAATATTGTAGTTACTCAATCACTTTATTTTTTATTTCTACTGAAATTCGTGAGTAAAATTTAATATTGAAATTTGTTTTGGCTGAGTTTTTTAATTTTAGTATAGGAAAACGTTTATCTGCGTTAAGAAAAGCAGCAGACAGTATTTCATTAGGCGATTTAATTGATAAAACGATTCGCACAACAGGTTCGTGGACGTTGCTCAATGAACAGGTTAGTTGTATATTGTTCTTTTGTCAAAAAGCTTCCAAAAATCACATCTTTGCAGTTCTACTATTGATTATATTAAAATCTATTTACTGTGCAGTTTCTATTTAAAGGCATTATTTTCATCAGTAGCACCAACTACTCATATGAATGGACACATGAAGGGAATGATCAATTTTCCTTCATGGTTAGGAAAAAACTCAACATTTATGAAGCACCAACGTTTGTTGCGTCAGCTGACAACTCACACTTATTTAAGGTCTGAAATTTGCATTCATGGTTCTATGTCGATACCATTAAAAGTGATATCTTGAAAATTTTGTTTAATGAAAAATTTTTGTGTCTAACGTCATCTGCAGATTCAGCATTTTACAAAATCTACCATTAACTTTCAGAAACTTTTAAATTTTAAATATATTGATTTAGAAATCATGTAAAAAATTCAATTTATTGGATCCAAAGCAGTTATTGTCTTGACCATATTTTACTTTTAGTATTTTGAATTTAGAACTTTTGCCACAGTTTCGTCAATGGTGCTTGATTATGTTCCAGTATTGCGACGTCAGTACTGCTGTCCTTTGTTAGAAAAAGAGAGTGATGGAGTCCAGTTAGTGCATTTTTAGTATTTTCAGTTTTGCTTTTTAAATATTTTACGCAAGTAAAGTTCAGATTTTCACTTCTCTCTCGTCTTGAATTTTTATCTAATCATATTACCACTAAAATAATATCCTATAGAATTCACAAGTAAGAAAACACTTCAAATTATTCACTATAAGATCATTACACATATGCATCATTAAATAATAAACTTATCTTGACACTTTTAAGTTTTGAATTTCAGCGATGTTATTAATCTTTACAAAGAATATAATTTGGTTAAAGATGATATGGATTCAATTGCGGAATTAGCTGTATGGCCGAGCATAAAAGATCCAGGAGCTGCTATTTCATCAAAGGTTCTGTATTTTCGTTTAAATTATAAATTTATAAATTCTTTTTACTTTTTTTTCCTTGAACATATAAAGTTTTTTCAGATCAAAGCAGCTCTTACACGCACTTTAAATAAAGAGCATATATTATTACCATATGCTGTAGATACAGTAATGAAAGGACGAAAGAAAGCAGTTGGTGGTATGTTATTATGATTTCATCTATTCAAATGATAATGGCAATTTTTAAATCATTTTATACTGCATTGAGCATAATGAGAGATTAACAGTTCTGTGCAAATTAAAAAATTTAAATGTCTCGAATTATGTGGTATGAAGACAGCTAAAGGAATTTTTAAATCTCTTTGTATTATTATATATAAAGTTGGATAGTGTAAAATCGATCGCTCCATCATCATTTACAATAGCATATCATCCAGTAATCATAAAGAAAAAATTTTTTTTAGTATTCATCTCGATCACTACTATATTTGATGATGACTTGAATTTTAAGGCATAGATTTCGATTGTGAAATAGATGAAGAAGGTAATTTGATAGAAAAAAATACTACTGAAAACTTGGAAGAATCTGGCGAGGAAAACGGTGATGAGGACAATTTGATTTCGGTTGCTACAAAGAAAGTTACGAAAGTAGCTGGAGTTGGTAGTAAGTTCATATCTTTTGTTGTCAAGGACTGAAAAAGTATAAACTTATTTTCGAATTCGATGCGTTAGATTTTAGGCTGTTAAATGTTTCAGATAATACTACAGGTTTAATTGAAAATTTTAAAGTTGAGCTTATGCTTGAAATTTAAAGTTCATATTTATTCAGAAGGTCGTGGATCAAAAGATGGGATTCGAGGTGGAAGAGGAGGAGGTCGTGGAGTTGTTAGTAAAGGACGAAAAAAATAAAAAGTTCGTAATTACTTTCACTTCACCGATATTTCAAACACCAAGTAAATGTTCCAATTTCGATTTGATATGGCTTTAAAGTTGTTTAGTATTATTACTATTGTTTGTAATTTGATTTGAGAAATGATGTGAATTCGGCTTAAAAATTAGCATTTTTTACTTCAAGTCTTGTTTTAAAATTGTCATAATATCGTTTATCAAAATGGTCTCTAATGCATTATATGTCGGAATGTAATTATTCTTAAAGACATCTATTGTCTTTTTGTATATTTTCGCATGACGGCTATGTTTGTTTGTCTGTTTTTACACTTAATCAATTTTTTTATTGCAATTTACAAAAACTTTTTGTACTTGTTCAATGAATTATTTTTATTGAAATAAACATTCTTTTCTAATGTAATGAGCAGTTTAAAGTTTTCTGTTGTGGACAAATTTTATTTTACGAAGTATTGAATTTGCTTTCCAGCTTTGTAAATGTGAGTAGAATGTGACTGGCCGTGAATTCTTAAATTTCTTAGATAGAAATTTCAGTTTTTTCAAATTTCTAGTTTGTACAAAAACAAGATGAGTTTAACATCATATAAATTATTTTTGTATAGATCAATGTGAATAGAAGCATAAAACTAGTGATTAGAATCTTTCTAGTTAAGCGTTTAATCTTTGTTTACTCTTTTTGAAGAGTTTTTTTCAAAAATTTTCATGAGTGGATTTAAGTGTAGTTGTTTTATGCAACCTGTTTACATTATTGATATGATCTGGAACTAAGTAATATTTTTAGTTTAAGTCATTCTTTTTGTAATATCATAACCTGGCTCATCAGAATTTGCTTTATAATACTGTTCAGTTACTCCTTTGAATTAGCTCTTTACAGTGCATTATAAATTGATTTATTGAAAGTTTTTAGTGTTGTTAATGTCATTAGTCTTATTTTTAGTACTACAAAATATTGTGAGCCCATCAGAGTTGCTTTTCAGCTGTATTCTATTTTACATGACTCGAAAATGCTGGAACAGGTAATTGTATCTTTCTATAAATTACATATAAATTCTTTCTTAAATTTTACGTTCCCAAACTTAGTTTAGAACATTTTTCTAATTGGTTTTCTGTTGCCGCCGAATTTGGCATTTGTTGCAAAGAACAGTAAGAAATTCTGACTGTTCTTTGCAACAAATATTATAATTTTTTTGGTTTTATAATGAGACTTGCTAGAAATAGGATATGTTACAATTGGTAGTTACTGAATTTTTTATTAGCTGATATCAAAGTTTCATTGATTATGAAAAGTACTGATAAAGTGATATAATTTTTTTCAGCGGAAAAATGATTATGGTGCTATGTTAATCAAAGGTTCAGCTGGTATCGTCATAACAGTGTCACTGGCATTAATTTTTCTTGTTATTGGTAATATGGTTTATCAGACATTCACTCGAAAAGTTGTATTACGTGAAAGAGTTGGTTCTATTCTTATTTTTATGGTAAAAAATTTGCTGAATATAGCAGGTTTTTTACTTCGAATTTGCAACGTTATTGAATAATTACTAATACTTGGTGTATGATTATTTATTGTATGCATCAATTCAGAGAAAACTATGTTGGGAATTGATTTTGTCCTGCATTTCAGAGGAGATACTGAGTTTTTCGTATAAAATTCATCAGCGTCATCTAAAAAGTAAGTTATAGATTCTTTTTTGTCACTCACTTAAAACCAATTCTTTTGCTGTAAGCATGCATTTCATTGAAAAGCAAATGAAATTGACTTGGAAATCCAAGTTAAATTTAGTAATGTTATGGATAATATTATTTTACGCATGATAAATTATCATCATTTAAAAGTTGATAATACATTTCAATGTAAATGCACAACTTCAGATTTCTATTAGTCTTTCAAAATATTGTGATAATCTAATCGTGTTGTTTTTATTACAGAATTACAGAATAAGTCCAAGCTAATGCCAGTCTGTGTTGCAGATTTTGATCCTTTCGTTGTCTGTATCTCATGTGTTTCCTTCAGCTCATAGAGCAATTAATGATGATAATGAATACAGTCATAGAAGATTGTTCCTCTAGAACTAGAAGTGTTGTTAAGTAAGCATAAAGTATTATTTTAGTAATTCATTATGAAGTGAAGATTGTGATTTTAAACATGCATTCTTAATTACAATTCGAGTTTGGTTCATTATTGTTGCGCAAATTAAGTACCTAAAAGATATAGTCAGCTGCTTTCTTAACATTATTTGATCACATCTAATTTTCAGCAAATTAATTCTGTTTTTTATTAACTGTTTTGCAAATGGAGAAATGAAGTTTATTTTTCGCATTTCATATATGAATCCGTAAATGAGCAAAAATTGTACTTAGCATCTTAATGTTAAAATATTTATCATTTCTATTGAAATGAAACGATTATTTTCTAGGAATCACTTTTATGCGAGATCCGAAATCTGCAACTAATTGTGCTTCATGTTTTCAGGCGCATTCAGATGGTATTACAGTCATGTTTTTCAACAAATATTGCTAGTGATGTAAATGAAGATAAAACAGGATTAAGTAAGGAAATGCGACAAGTATCAATGCCTTCCAATACAAGTCATGAATGTTTTCATAGTATATTTTTATTAACTTATCATGCCATTTTTTCGAACTGTTATGAGACGGAATCATATATTTTCAAATACTAAAATGAAGTATGGTTTGATATTACTTTTAGAAGAAAATATAATGACTATGTAGTCCTGCATTTGTCACTTTAAGATTTTATTTGATTCTGACTTATTTTTTTTAACTATCTACACAAGGCTTATTTTTATCTGTATATTTCGCAGTGTATGAATTCACTGAATATATTATCTAAACATTTTTATTTTTCAGCGTCTGAGAATATTCGATCAAGTTCTTTACTTGCAGTTGATATTACGGTCGAACCTCCCGAATCAAATGCACCATTACTATCACAAGGTAAATTTTCATTTTTATAAACATAATGTATTTTAAATAATAGTTTATATATAAAATAATGTTGATTTTTCTGAAATTTAAGTTGTATTATGGAATGATGAAACTTACGTAGTGCACACGTCAGTGCATTATTCCAACTGTCTTGTTCCAAGACTCGATCTGATAATTGAGTCACCATATTATTGGGGTGTTATGGATCGATATGAAGCAGAAGCATTATTAGAAAGCAAACCAGAAGGTAACAATATTTTGGAAGAAAAAAAGATTATAGAGATCTCTCAAATGCAAATGGGCATTTTTTCATTTTTTTGATCTACTTCAAAGTGGAGTTTTCAAATTATATTTACTTGTGATTTCCAGCAAGTTTTTACAAGAACTTCCAATTCATTTTCCGTCCAGTAAACTAAATGGTGATCATGGTATATCATGTCTAAAATATGTTGGTAATTGCTCTAGGGACATTTTTATTGCGTGATAGTGCGCAGTCGGATTACTTGTTCTCAGTATCTTTTCGTCGATACAAGCGCACTTTGCATGCACGGATTGAGCAGCGAAACCACTGCTTCAGTTTTGATTTTTCTGACCCATCGATTTATTCAGCAAACACTATAACTGCTCTGCTTGCATATTACAAAGATCCGAGCAAGTAAACTTTTAGGTTATTTATGTTAATTGAAGAGATTTAGGTCAAGCTTAAGAATATATTGACACTCCAGTAATGATGATGAAGGATTTATTTATTCAATAATTTTTAGGTGCCTATTCTTTGAGCCGCAGTTATCGATACCATTACCAAGGAACTTTGTGTTTTCACTGCAGGTTTGTGCATGGTTGTCAAATCAAAAATTCATAGTGTAATCACTAATTGTGCTTCTGTTCTTTAACTTTGTGAATTAAAATTATGGGTTTGTATTAAGTGATATTGATTTTTCAACTTTTTTTCCTGCTACCGTATCTATGACGAGTGTAAAATTTCAACAGTTCACCCATTGTAAAACTTCTTGTCCAAAAAAAACTTGTAGCTGTTATTTAATCATAGATTATTTTCAGCAGCTGTGTCGCGCTCGTATAGCAAGTTTGACTACATATGATGGTGTGGAAAAATTGAGTTTACCCTTGTCTTTGAAAAGTTTCATCAAAGAATATCATTATAAACATCCTGTAAAAACAGTGAATCATGTAGGAGAGTTAGAATCTTAAAACTTGAGTCCGTCAGCATTTTCTATAGGTGTAGCAACTGAAAGCAATTACAGTGCTCAGAAGTATGGTTAAATAGTTAGTTCATTCAGTAAACTTCATTTCATAAATTACCGAACCCTATAATTATTATTGAAAAAGTTAGGAAAATATAAAATTCAGCAAGTTATCTTGGCGCTTGTTTTTAATAACTAAAAAATGTATTCCAGAATATAGAACATTGTAGTTTCTCGAGTGGTACTCAATCATATTTGCACCGGTCTTTCAAAAATTTAGTTTTTTTTGCATCATAGATATGCTTCTTTTAATCAAATTGGTATACTGATTTTTAATCGTTATAATTTGCAGAATTTAAATTTTCACATTGTTAAATTTTAGAAATCTTATCAACTATTCAATCCAGAAAGCAATTTGCCTTCAATTTAAATACCTATTAAATATGTCATCTGACTATGTAGTGCATCACACATTTATTGTCACATTGTTTAGGAATTTCTGCGATCTTTTAATTGTCGCCTCATTATTACGTATGTACTGAATTTATAATATTTTTTCTGTATAAAGCTTGTTCAGCACATCCGTTTGATACGAATCATTACGGAGTTAATTTTTCTTAACTGTAGCATAAACCCTGAATTGATACAAACTGCGACATAGTTTTAGTCATCATATATAATTGCTTTTACGTAAAGACTGACACATAAATGACTCACATGATGTAAGTGATCTTTTCAAATGCGTGTAAAATTTTATTAACAATTTAGAAAAGTGAATTTTGATAAATGTGTACTAGACAATACTACATTGAGTTTTATGTGTATTGTTTCAAACGCTACATCTTATGTTTTCATTCTTTAAAGTTTAAATTGCTACTTTGTAAGGAATTAAATTCCGTCTAGTGCAAACTTCGTTTACCAAATTTCAGGCCTAGATTATGCAGCATTATAATCCTATCAATTGTGTGATTTTGTTTATGGTCTAGAGAATTGAGTTTCAGTTTCTATTACAAATTCAGAAATAATAAGTTATGTGTTGTTAGTTTTATATCTGTCGAAAGTACTGTTTTCTTTCCTTAAATTGAGAAATATTTCTTCACAAATATCGCATCATTGAGTCGCATCAAAATATTTGCGTACCTATAAATCAGCCATAAAGGTAATACATTTTAGTTGCTAAAATTCTTCTACAATAACTAAAGAATGTCAGGAAGGAGATCATGCTTTTCTGTTGTATATTCAAATTTCTTTTTTTTGTATTTATGTATTTTTGTTGTAGATCATTTCTGAAATGATCATAATTGGTCATTTCTAGCATATTATTCTTACAACTAAAAAAATTCATTTTTGTCTTGCTGAATCCTGATTTAAAACTAGGTGATTTCCTCATTTTCATTTTATTACTGTTTTTCTTAAACGATTATGTTATTTAAGTTCAGTCTTACATCTGTATTACTTTGATTAAGCTTTAAGATTTATTGACTATGTAATAATGCATCTTCGCATATTTTACTTTAAAAAATCTTTTCAATTGTATGAATTTTTTCTACAATTGCAGAAGTGACTAAACAT